GGTACTGCGTCGAATACTTTCAGAGCTGGACCGTTTTCGTCCATCCGGACAACATGACCTAGCCAGCGTAGCCGCTGTCTTTTAATTCGCTGAACTATGTCAATGTCGTCGTATATCTCGTACAGCTCATCGTTCCATCGAATGCGATATTCGCCGTGGCCCACGCAGAACTTTTCTCTCGAAAACTCGCAACGTCGACTCATCAGTTGTTGTCATCGTCCAAGCCTCTGCACCATATAGCATTTTTTATTTTTTTGAAAAATCTATACTCACAACAAAAAGTGAAAATAATAAAATAAAACAAAAAACTTACTACACAACAACGATGAAAAACATAAACAGGAAATATAAAATGATGTCACTGGAGCAATAGACGATCGAGAAGCCCAAAGAATGGATATATAGAAGGCTATCAAACAATTAATACTGAAGTGAAAATTTAAAACGTGGTGAGCAATAACGCCCACTGTTTGAAGAAAATATGGTTTATTCTAAGACCAATGAAACAACCCTTCAAGAAGTAGTCTAATAGTGTTAAATCACAAGAACTCAATTTCTATAAATAATCGAATAATAACGATTTCCCGACTTTGTTCCGTGCGTCATTATTGTTTTATTTACTAACAATGTCAATTTCTTATTGACATCATTGTAGTTTTATTATTTCTTGGCCAATTACGCGTATTGGCCTTCTATCAGCATACGCAAAATCTAATCTCGAAAATATGGCCTCTAAATTTAAACTGTGCCATGGTTATATAATACAGTAATAATATAATTTATCTCGTTTTCTTTTTTATTTATATATATATAATATATATATTAGAATGTATCTTGTTTTCTTTTTTTTTAAATAAGAACATTCACATCATGGTTATTGGTTTTGCAATACTCACAGTGAAAAAATTTTTCAAATAAATTAGTGGGATTATTTCCCATTTAATTAATAAATATAGGATTTACTTACGACTAACTTTATGTTGTTGTTGCTACTGCTGCTACTGTTGCTGTTGCTCCTCCTGCTGTTTAGTTTTTGCCTTTGCTTTACTGCTTTTGCTCTTGTTGCCTTCGCTGCTGTTTCTTTGGAAACTTGCTGCCTTTTTTCTCTATGCTTTGTCCCTTCTTTATTGCTTTTAATGCGGAGTTTTCACTGGCACACTGTTTATTTTGTTGTTTTTAAGGAACTGTGCGTTCTAAATATATTATATATAAAATTTCGCTCCGCTGCTAAGGCTTAAGCCTTAGGCTAAGTGTATGTTAGGCCGAAAAAGTATAAAGACATATATGTATAAATGAACCACAAATGGAAAGTAACATCCCAAAAGGAGAAATACAAAGCCCCTCATATTCTACAATATCTACAACTATTTTATAACACATCTTAAAATTTGTATATTTAACTATAACAGAAGCATAAAAATTATTGCATATACATAAAGATATGTGAGTTATAATTAACAAATTCTCTTTTTTTAGTGACAGTCACAGAATTAAAGGAAAATGGTTTAATAAAGAGTTCAGCAATTCCAAAGGACAAGTCTCCAGAGAAAATAGAACTAATCAGTGCAGAGCCCAGAACATGTATAATACTTTAACTAATTTTTTCTAGCTTAAGCAAATGAAGTCAACAATCTTGTGCTAATAGGTGCTAAGCGATTTTACTTTTTGAAGGAAATGGTACAATAAAGTTTTAATATAGTTTAAATCTATATTCTACATTTTCCATTAATAACCACGACTATAGAAAACATCGAAAAGTATTTTTATTTTTAGCAATTCTTCAATAAACTAGATTAAAAGAAAGTTAGAATTTTCATCCCTGACTTCAACCTACGTAACGTGGATTCCATTTGCTGTTCGATGATTTTATATCTTTAAAGAAGTCTGAATAAAAAGATACAAAATATGTCAATTATAAAATATAATGTATAACTAAGTAGTAAAATTTTATTTATTTATTTCATTATAATTTTTTGTAAGTTACCTTTGTTTTGTTTTATAAATAATGTCCTCATGTTTTGTTTTATAAATAAATCCAAAGATTATTATATAAACATGAAGTGTGCACAACCAAGGTCTCCTAATTTAAACCAGGGAAATGTTAATAAATTTCACAGGGTAAAACTTTTGATAGTATCGAAAGTATTTTTTGAAAGGCGTCAGACCCCAAATATCTAGACCATAGTGCATTTGGGAGCAACTGGATAAAATCGCGTCAACGACTCCCTTAGTCCCCATATAACTAATATAAATATTTTTGAACTTCCGGTTGACTTTTATCGATCAATGCAGTTGGGTAGTCGTAAAAGTCTTTTCGTATTTTGTCAATAGATGTCGTTGCAGTGTTATATCTCCAGTGCTACCAATTATATTGTGTCATACCATATAGTGTTGGAAAGGTGAGATTTTAAGCTTCATTTAAGCAAAATAAAAATAAAATCGTGGAGAGTGAAAAAAGTTACAGTTGTTCAAAAATTATTGAAAATAATCAAGGAATTTGAAATATTTAAAAAATTTTGTATGAAAAGGGGAAGTATACCACGCAAGCCACTAATGAAATTTGTGAAGCTGTCGGAGACGATGCTGTATCAATTCGTTTAGAACAACAATGGTTCGCTCCCTTCTGTTCTGGAAATTTCGAGTTTCGATTTACGTTTTTTTTCTCCCATTATAAGAAATCTTAGTAGAATTCAGAAATAATCTGTTGATTGTAAATAATAAATGCGATGCTCTCTACTTGTAATAAAAATATATACGAAAAATCCATATATCGTTTACATAGCTACTTTTTAAATGCTTATGAATTGTTATACTTTTACACAGCCGTATTAGTTATGCGGGGATACCAAGTCGTGGATACCAGACATCGTGGCATAAAGGCAGCTCCTTTTCGTGTTGTCAAAGGCAGCTTTGGAATCAATGAAGAGGTGATGAGTCGATTATCTTTTCACGGATTTCAAGACGGTGTTCAATATTTGGCGAAACGGTGAATATTTAGTCAGTTTGTGATTAGTCAGGTCTAAAGCCACACTGATAAGATCTAATCAAATTTTGTTGACGGTTGGCTTTAATCTTTCACACAATACGCTCGATAGCACCTTATAAGCGATGTTGAGGAGGCTTATTATGCACGGTAGTTGGCACAGATTGTGGGGTCTCCCTTATTGTGGATTGGGCAGAGCACACATTATTTCCAATTGTTGGGCATGCTTTCGCCCGATAATATTTTATAAAGAAGTTGATGCATGGTCCTTATCAGTTCTTCGCCGCCGTGTTTGAATATGTCGGCCGGCAATCCATCGGCCACTGCCACTTTTGTTGTTTTTCAGACAGGTAATTGCTATTCAAACTTCTTCATGATTGGTCAATGCAACGTCTGCTCCATCGTCATCGATTGGGGCATCGGTGTTCCCTCCATAATTGTGGTGTGCTCTGGGCATTGGTTACTAGGTCACCTCCTTGAATTCTACAATTTCAATTTTTCGTAGGAGTTTAAAGCATCACCCGTATCAGCTAGCTTTTTTCTTTTGCTGTCTGTAAATGCATCTCGTTTACCTCTTCAATTCTCGGTATTTATCCGCACGTGTTGTGGTCGACGGTAACGTTGCGAGGTAGGCAGTCTGATTCCTTTCCGCTGTAACACGGCACTCCTCATCGTACAACATGTTCTTTTGCATTTTCTGAAAATCAATGGTTTTGGTGGCATCTGTACGTAAGGACCTTGAAATGTCGACCATCCTTGTGTTGGTTGACGTGCGTTTTTTGCTGCACAGAGGCGGATACGAATCTTGGTTGCCACAAGGTAGTAGTCTGAGTAGATGTTAGGACCTCGGAGTTTACGAACGTCTAGAGTACTGGAGACTGTCTTCCGTCTATTACAACTTGATTGATCTAGTTGGTGGCCTTTAGTTCCGGAGACAGCCAGGCAACTGGATGTGCTGTCTTATGCTGGTATCTAGCACTACAGATAACCATATTTCAAGCTCCGCAGAAGTCGATCAGCTTCAATCTATTTGAGGATGTTTCCTCGTGAAGGCTGAGTTTACCGACCGTAGTGCCAAAGACACCCTCTTTGCCTACACTGCCGTTAAAGTCACCAAACACGATTTTGATATAGTGGATGGGGCAGTTCTCATAGGTGCGCTCCTCCTCCGTCGGAGTGTGGGTGCAAATCAGAGGTGTGTTGAAGGACCTCGCTTTGATGCGAGTTATGGCTAGACGTTCATCCACCGGAGTGAATGATAGTATTCGAAAACGGAAACCTTCTCCCACAACGAATCCCACACCAAACTTGCTGGGCAGCGGCAACTTCCCGATTAAGGGACCGAGGATTCCAGGTGCATGCTCTCATATCGTAGCCCTTAATTCGTTTGCCATGGTGGTCATCAAAAGGAGGTTATTCCTCATCCGAGGCTGTTTTTTGACACAACCCTATGTAGGCGATGTTCGCCTTCTCACTTTAGCTTGCCTCAAACGGATATTCTTAGGCTACCCAGAGGATACTTGATCAAAGACTAAAAGTAGTAAGCTGCTTCAGCCATCTGTAAAAGAATCGTTTCTGACCACTCCTAAGATAAAGGCGATCAGAGATATTTCCTCACTTGCGTGAACATCTACACATGACTCCATCCTCCGATCAGTTCTCAATAGGGGTATTCAGACCGAACTTGTTAATCTAGTAGGTCGTTAGTTGATACTTCCTTACAACACTTAACTGTGAACATACTTTTTGCTGTACATCAGCAGTGCGTGTAAATTTTGATTCAAAACAGCTGATTCAATTATATTAAATACTCACTTTTGAAAAATTTTTCAGAAACTAATTTGAAGTAGACAGCAAATATATTTTTTCGCAATAATTAAGGACCTTTTGAGGCAACAATGAAAAAAATACCATGCTTGAGAGTCTGGTACTTCAATACTCGATAAATAATAATCTCTTAATTTTACAAACACAAAACTCACGTAAGACTACCGAGTAACGACTAACGAATTAACAAAGCTGGTCTGAATACCCCTAATATAAGTTATGATTTTACTTGTCAAAAGTAAAAATCATATTATTTTTCCGGTCTTAAGACCTTTATTGTTCAACCGCTCGCTTAACACTAAACTTAGCAAATTTTATAATTTTTATGGTAACTTAATGCGCTTGCAGTTCTGCTGACGTCGGTTCCCATATTCCGCTGGACTTCGCCACACTGCGCTAGACGTACCGTCAGCACTTTTGCGAGTAGAACGGATGCGCGTGTCTTCTGGTTGCTTTAAATRTTRTTGTTGCTAACTCCTCCCTTCTTAAAATCAATTGTCCTCAATTGATCAAAAATATGGTAAGTTGTCAAAAYTGAAGTATGTTATGGGGTTTGCTGTTTTTGGTACTATTTCTGGTACTGCTGGGTCCTTATCCTTGGAYGATGTTTCTGATGTAAAGCTTGTTTTCAGGATTATCTTCTTTCTCCTATGGCATAAGAATATTATTGAAAAAGCTGCTAGTTTGAGAATGGCCATGATTGCCACAGAA